TTTCAGTCATTGGTGTTGAATGCATCAAATCTATACTTCAGATGGTCTCTAAATTCAGGAGGGATATAATCAAGATCATATTTTGGTTCTTGTGGACTTCTTTTAATTGTCTTCAGCTTCAGCTTGAACTTGTACATGGGCAGTTGATGGTCTGTTCCACAGTCAGCTCTGGGCCTCATTTTGGCTGAAGATATTGAGCTTCTTCATTGCTTCTTGCCACAGATGTAGTCAATCTGATTACTGTATATTCCATCTAGTGAAGTCCATGTGTATAGTTGCCATTTGTGTTGTTGAGAGCATGCAACAGCTCTCTTCAAATATTCATCTCTTTGTGTGGGTTAGACTTCATGTGGTTCCCAAGGACATCACTAGCATCAATAGGCTGATTTAACAAGGGGATTTATTGTCATCAAATTGATTCTGACTTATAGCGACCCCAGTGTTACAGGGTAAAACTGCATCATATGTTTTTCTTGGTGGTAATCTTTAGGTGCTGGTGGTGCAGTGGTTAAAGCACTTGGCCACTAACTAAAAGGTTGGTGGTTAAAATCTATCAGCTACTGCATGGGAGAAAGATGTGGCAGTCTGTTTCCATAAAGATTTACAACATTGGAAACCCCATGGGGCAGTTCTACTCTGTCTTACAGGGTATCTATGAGTCACAATCAACTGGATAGCAGTGGTTTAATCTTTATGGAAACAGTTTACCAGGCCTTTTTTTCCATGGAGCTGCTGGGTGGGTTTGAAATGTCAATCTTTAGGTTAACAGCTAACTGCAAACCACTTGTGCCACCCAGGTACTTTAGAATTTCCTTAACTATTTGAGGGGTTCAACAATGTTCTAGGCAGCTAGATAAGGTAGCAATTTCCCTGTCACTGTTTGTATTCAAATAGAAGCTGTTTGATCACCTGTCAGTGATGCTGCAGAGAAGGTTTCTGAAAAATTTTGCCAGATAGCTTCACTCATTTCCATAAGCTAAGGGTCTTGCAGAGGTGGGGCAGGGCTGGTCACTGGAGGTAACTATAATTCCCCTTTTTTGGGGGATTTTTGGGTGCTTCCTGTGCAGCTGAGCTGTTGGGCTCATGTTGGCAGGGTTACCATTGTTCTCATCATGTTATCCAATGGCCCCACCAGAGATGCTTACCAGGCAATCATTTGTGCCCCCGAGAGAACCAATGCCCATCCTGCCTGCCCTCTGCTGGGCTTTGGGAACAAGGCCATGGGAGTAACCAGGGGAACTGGTTCCCCCTAGAGCCAGGGCAAGGGCTAGAAATGGATTCCAGTGCAATCCTCTCCCTAATGCTGCTGCCCTCAATGAAGCTGGCTCACTACCCCCAACCCCTGTAGCCCCGCCTCTGGAGCCTGCTGTCCTGTGATTAGTCTCTGGTCTCCTGCAGGCATCTTGGCTGGAGCTTGTGTTTTTGTTGTTTTGCAAGCTATCAGCAGCAGGATTTAGCTCTCATGAGCTGCTGAAAACATCAGTGATGGGTTTGTTTGTATTTGCCTAATTAGGCAATGAGCTGTGATGTTATCCCAAGGACTGGCAGCGTCTTTGAAAAACACCCAGAAGCGTAGATTCTGAGGAAGTTCGAGCTCCTTCCACAGTATCATTTAATCCCTCTTGATACTCCCTGGGGAGGCAAAATTACTTAGAGTCTGAATCCTACAGTCAAATTACCTGGATTCAAATTCCAGCTCTATCACTTCCTAGTTCTGTTGCTTTGGGTAAGTTCTTTTAATTTCTTTGTGCCTCAGTTTCCTTATTAGTGAAATGGGGAGAGTACCTCATAGGGTTATGATGAGGGTGGTTCAGTGGTAGAATACTGGTCTTCCATGTGGGAGACTCAGGTTTAATTCCTGGCCAATACAACTCAAGACAGCCACCCCCGCCCCTGTGCCACTGGCAGCTTTTGTGTTGCAAGGACGCCGAACAGGTTTCAGTAGAGCTTCCAGACTGAGAAAGGCTAGGAAGAAAGGCTTGGCAATCTGCTTCTAAAAAACAACAAAGAAAACTCTATGGATTACAATGGTCTGATATGTAAGCAAACATGGGGAGGTGCAGGACTTGGGCAGCATCTTGTTCCACTGTGCATGGAGTCACCATGCATCTGAGCCAATTTTATGGTGGCTTAACAACAATAACAACTACATAAAGTGTCTGTTGTTGTTGTTATGTGCCGTTGAGTCGGACCTGACGCATAGCGACCCCTCCTTGGGTTTCCGAGGCAGTATCACTATGGAAGTAGATTGCCCCATCTTCCTTCCGAGGAGTGGCTGGTGGGTTTGAACCGTCAGCCTTCTGGTTAGCAGTCAAGTGCCTTAGACACTACGCTACCAGAGCTCCCCACTATGCTACCAGAGCTCCCTGTAAAGTGCCTGACACATACTAAATAGTTTATAAATGCTAATTTAAATAAAAATGACAGTCAGGTAGTGTAGTCAAAGAGATACCTGTCTTTAGAAGGGAGCAAAACAGGTTATTGGGCAGTTAAGGGATTGAAGACAAAGTCCCATGCATAGGAATTGGTTATATGTTTGAGTCAATTTCTTTCTCATTGTGACTTTGTTTACCTGTCAAATAAAGGGAAAAAATCCATATTTCTTTTCTTCTCCAAGTCATTGTGGATTTATGAGATAATGTCTAGAAGTACTTGATCTTCTTAGAAGAACAATGTTCTATCAATATGAGGAAGTCTATTTATAAATCATTTTCTTTGGCTGATTTTTCCAAGTCTTTGTGACCAGAAAAACATTTAGGTCTTCAATGAAAATATCATTCCTGGTAGAATGAATGGGACCCTAGTGTTAAAATGGAAGAGAATAAGAGCAGCCAAAGGGAGTTCCATAAGAATTTGACCGGATTCTACAAATTGCCTGGATTAAAATTCCTGCTCTATCACTTCTTAGCTCTGTTGCCTTGGGTAAATGGCTTCAATGTCCCCACAAGAAAACTTTTACAGTATTAAGTGCTCTAAAAATACTTACTGAATTGAATTGACTTTTATTATTCTAATTTCCTTACCAGGAGAGTAAATAGTATTTGTTGAGCATACAAGTTTTTACTGGAGTCTTGGGTGGCACAAACAGTTAAGTGCTTGATTACTAGCCAAAAAGTTGGCAGTTCAAACCCAGTCAGAGTCTCCTTGGAAGAAAGACCTTGAAAACCCTACAGAGAAGTTCTACTTTGCACACATGGGGTCACCATGGGTAGGAATCATCTTGATGGCAACTAACAACAGCAATGACAACAACTTTTTATCACTGTCATCATTGGGCTGTTTTGGGGGGACATATGAGCAAATACAAGGCAAGTGCTTTACTGGAATTTGATTTTATTCGTTCTGAAAGGAGAGGCCCTATCTTCCTGTAAATGGAGTCCAGTTGGAGAGGAAGCATTGCCCAGTTCATCTGAGTCCATGCTCCTTCAGTATGTAGTAGGAAGGCACTCCTGGATTTCAGAAAGGCATTTCCCTGTTCTGCTATGGGAACTCTGGTGGTGTAGTGCCTGAGGCACTTGCCTGCTAACCAGAAGGTTGGAGGTTCAAACCCACCAGCCACTCCTCGGAAGGAAGGTTGGGCAATCTACTTCTGTTGTGATGCTGCCTTGGAAACCCAAGGAGGGGTCGCCATGAGTCAGAGGCGACTCGATGGCATATAACAACCACAACATTATGGAGCTGGATGCCAGAGGGCCAATTACTGACATGGTGACAACCTCTCTAAGAACCATCATCCATGGTGACATGGAGCTTTCTATTGGCCACTGACCAAACAAGGCTCCAGTGCCTAACTAAAGGCTGAAAATCCCTGACCAGGTACCCAGACAGCCTCCTTAACTAGCAACAGTGCTGGGCCAAGCTCAGAGTCATCCATGGCATGTACAATTCTAGTTAGGGAAGGTCATATCTGTCCCCCAGCTTCTCTAGGGTAAGGGAGTTCAGAGACTCTGAAATTGGCCAGTTCCCATAATACTTAAACTTTATGGCAGCACAGTATATTTTGGAGATATTATTCTGTCTTTTATCCATGCTCAGCTGGGCTGTAGCACTCAAAACTTGTGATGCTATTGACCACTGCTATAATGTTTCAATATACATTTTTGGCAAGACATAACTCACATTTTAAAATATTAATTTCCCAACCATCATGTTTCTGAGTGCACTCCGATTTTTTATTTTCCTGCAGCTGTTCCCCATGAGGGAGGTAAAGCTACTCTCAGTCGAATACACATTTTTCTGTCCTCCTTTACCTCCTCAAATCCTCAATCACAGGGACACCAAATTCCCAGTTCTGAATTTTATAGTTGATGCCAAGCTGAGCAACAGTCACATGTCTACCCACCCTGAGGAAGAATAATAATGGCTGATGGGTGAGTGACCAAGAGGATGATTCCATTTCTTTTTCTCTCATGGGAGAGGATGAATTAGAAAGACATCTGTATGGGTTTATAGGGTTGACATTCAGAATAGTTAACAAATGGTGTGGCATGGGCACCAACCAGCAAGAACAGATGCCAGCCACAAACTACAAGTGGTGCATATTTGTGGAATATCAGCTGGGGTGGGCTCAGCGAAGCTTGGGATTTACTTTTAAAACCTCTTTTCTTTTCTTCCCACAGACTGATGGTCTCTAAAATTAACCAGGTTTCATGCCTTGATAAGTAGGGCATCAATTTTGGACCAAGACACAGAAACAATTGAACTCCAGAAATCTGACTTTACATGAAGCATGTTTGACTTTGTAGTTGTGGCAACATTGTACTAGGTTTAAGAACTCCCACCAGAAGTGAGGCTTTCCTTGTAACTCATTACCAGTGATTGGAGGAGCCCTCAAAGTCCTATGGATTCTGGACTTGGGGCTTGCCTTGAAGGAACTGTCATGAAAGTGTATAGTTTAATCCCCAAACACTTATGGAGGTGGATGTTCTCTGTAGGGTGGGTAGGTGGGTAAGGTGGTGACAAGTTTCAGATCTTCCCAAAGGGGGTCTGTGGGTACTCACTTGAGAGGTCTCTGCCCACGCCCAATGCCAGGCCATCCTTGATCCACAGAACGAAGCCATCATATTCAGGGATGGCGCATAGCAGTGTCACTGGCTGCCCTGACACCACCACCTGGTCCTGGGGCTGCTGGCTGAAGGAGTACACTTGGCCTGGGGAGGGGACAAGCAGAAAGATGAGTTAGTTTCAGTGAGCAATACCTGGAGGGCTTATGCTTCTTATGGAAGCAGAAATGGGGCTGGTGACAAAGTCCCCTCCAGGGGGCCTCACTTCCTATCTGGGTTCACGCAGCAGCTTCCTAAGTGTTCTCAGTCCCCAGTTTGAAAAGCCAGTTGCTGTTGAGTCAGCTCTGACTCTTGGCAACCCCATATGTGTCAGAATAGAATTGTGCTCCATAGGGTGTGTGTGTGTATATATGTTGTTGTTGTTATGTGCCATCAAATCGGACCTGGCTCATAGCGACCCCTCCTTGGGTTTCCAAGGCAGTATCACTACGGAAGTAGATTGCTCCATCTTCCTTCTGAGGAGTGGCTGGTGGGTTTGAACCACCAGCTTCCTGGTTAGCAGTTAAGTGCCTTAGGCACTACACTACCAGAGCTCCTATGTATATATATATGTATACATATATATATGTACATATATTATCTATAGCATATATATATATATATAAAATTATCTATAGCTATCTCTCTCTCTCTCTCTATATATATATATATACCTATGATATTTCATTGTGTTTTCAGTAAAGGTTTACACAGCAGTTTAACCAAAAAACCAAACCCACTGCCGTCAAGTCGAATCCGATTCATAGCAACCCCTCCTTGGGTTTCCGAGGCAGTATCTCTATGGAAGTAGATTGCCCCATCTTCCTTCTGAGGAGTGGCTGGTGGGTTTGAACTGCCAGCCTTCTGGTTAGCAGTCAAATGCCTTAGGCACTATGCCACACAGCAGTTTAGGTTCCCATTAAACATTTTCTACATGTTGTTTAGTGACATTGGTTACATTCTTCATGATGCTTGAGCATTCTCTATTATTTTCATTCTGGTTGTTCAGTTTCCATTAATCTAGTTTCCATTAATCCCCCTTACATTCTCATCTTTGTTTTAAAGTAATTATTGACTGTTTGGTCTCCTATAGGTGATTTTTTAAAGGAGGTCAATACTTAATGGGTGATACTCATTATTGCTTGAGCTAATTTGTTATTTAGCTAAAAGGTGACCTCAGGGGTTACTTTGGGTTCAAGCTTTGAAGACTATTTCAGGGCAATAGTCTTGGAGAGTCTTCCAGTCTCAACAGTCTAGTAGGTTTGCTCTTTTTGGGAATTTGAGGTTCTGTTCCACATTTCTCTCCAATTTTTTTGTCCATCTATTGTAGCACTGATTATAATGGTCAGCAGGGGTAGCCAGGCACCTAGTTCTTCTGGCTCAGGGTGGAGGAGGAGGACATTTGTGCAGATTACTTGTCTTGTAGAGTAGTTTGATGGTTCGAACCTACCAGCCACTCTGAGGGAGGAAGATGTGATAGTCTGCTTCTGTAAATGTTACAGCCTCAGAAACCCTATGGGGCAGTTCTGTTCTGTCACATGAGGTCACTATAAGTTGGAATTAACTTGACAGCAATGAGTATACAAATATATGCTTACATGCATACATTTATACCCAAATAAATTTTTTTGGTTGTTTTTGCTATTGTTTTAGAATTATATATCCAAGAGCAATTACCAACAGGTCTTTTTGTCTAGTGTACTTTTTAGTGATGTAGTTTACTTTCATCAAGCTCACTTCCCCCTTATTTAGTGTTACCTTTTCCCAAAATAACAAGTGTCTACTATCTACAACATGAATCCCCTCCCTTCAACACCCCACCCCTGGTAACCACTAATGAACATTCATTTCTGTATATTTACTTGCTCATATCATTTCATTAAAGTGAGAAAATAAAATATTTGGTTTTTTTTTGGTAATTGACTTATTTCCCTCAACATAAAGTCCTCCAGATTCATCTGTGTTCTAAGATGTTTTAGGAACTCATTTTTCTTTATTGCTAAGTAATATTCCATTGTTTATTTGTACCACATTTTACCTATCCATTCATCTATTGTTGGGCACTTGGGTTGTTTCCAGCTTTTCAGCTATGGTGAATAGTGCTGTGATGAATGTATGTGGGCATATGTCTGCTTCTGTCACTTCTATTAGATCCCTAAGGTATATGCCTAAGAGTAGAATTGCTAGGTCATATGGCAGCTCTCTCTCTAGTTTTTTAAGAAACTGTCAGACTGTTTTTCACAAAGGCTGTACCATTTTGAATTTCCACCAGCAATGAATGAGGGTTCCACTTTCTCCACATACCCTCCAACACTTGTTATTTTTCAATTTTTTTTTTTTTTAAATCTTAGCCATCCTAGTGGGAGTGAAGTGGTATGTCATTAGGTTTTGATTTGTATTTCTCTGATGGCTAATAACATTGATCATCTTTTCATATGTTTGTTGGCCATTTGAATATCTTCTTTGGAGAAATGTCTGTTCATGTTCTTTGCCTAGTTTTTGATTGAGTTATTTGTCTTTTTGTTGTTAAGTTGTAGAAATTATCTATATATTTTAAATACTAGACCCTTATCAGTTATATCATTCCCAAAGATTTTTTTCCCAGCCTGTAGCTTGTCTCTTTATTCTTTTGATAAAGATTTTTGAGGAGCTCACTTGAGAATTAACTTTGATAAGGTCCCTTTAATCTATTTGTTTTCTGTTACTCACGTATTCAATGTTGTGTTTGATAATCTATCATTGAAAAAAATTATGTCCCCAAACTTTGCTCCTATATTTTCTTCTAATAACTTTATGGTTTTAGATGTAACATTTAGTCTCTTGATCCATTTTGAATTAGTTTTTGTGCACAGTGTGAGGATCTTGTTCCATTTCCCTGTATGTGGAAAGCCACTTTGCTCTATAAGGCTTTCAGTGGCTGATTTTTAACAAGTAGACCACCAGCCTTTTTTCTGAGGCTCCTCTTGGTGGACTGAAACCTCTAGTCTGGTTAGCAACTGGGCAGGTTAACCACTTGCCCCATGCAGAGACTCTCTGCCATTCATCCTCTATGTGGCACTCAGAGTGGTATTTCTAAATAGTCTGATTATGTAACTCCTGCATTTAGAATCCTTTAACAACTCCTTAGAATTTTTAGGCTAAAACTCAAATTCTTTAATATTAGCAAAGTCTTTTCAGGAGCTGGCTTCCAACTCTAGCCTCTCTGTTCTTCTCTCTGCAGCACTCACACTCTGGTCTAGTCATAACTCCAATGTCCCAATAGACCAGATCCAACTACAATTCAGTCCTGTTGCTCCTTTTCCATTAGGTTAACTCCTACTTAACTCCATTTGCTTGATGCATACTCAACAACAGACCAGGAGCAGGAGGGACATCCTTTTAGAAGTGTCTGTGGGGGTTGTGCTTTAAGAGGGCACTGGGGTGGCAGCGTGGTTTTGGTTAAATCTGAGAACCAAAACAAAATTGTATAGTTTTAGTGGTTCCCAGGATAAGCCTAGGGACAAATTCAGTGGATTGACTAGTGGTGAGTTTGTGCAGAAAGTTGAAGGACCAGATAATCATGTCCTAACACTTCCTCCCTGTGCGTTTCTTTTCTGCAGCAGATTCTACTCTAGCCTTTCTAACCCAGGGAAATAAATCATCCAATGTGATCCCACATCCACCCCATACACACCTCAAAGCAAGGCAGTGCTGAGACTTCTAAGCTAGTCAGTGCATATATATTAAACAAGCACAGTCTTTTAAGACTTTAAAATATTAACTCATTTCATCCTCCTAATAACCTGTGAGGCAGGTATTATTTTTATCTCTATTTTCCAGATGAGGGGAGTCCCTGGGAGGTAAAAGTGCTTAAGTGCTTGACAGCTAACTTCAGGTTAGGAGTTAGAACCCACCCACAGGTGCCTGAGAAGAAAGGCCTAGTGATCTGCTTCCAAAAGGTCACACCTCGAAAACCCTGTGGAGCACAGTTCTACTCTGCACACATGGGGTTGCCATGAATCACAACCAACTCAATGGCAACTCGATGGTTTTTCAGTTTTGACTGATGAAGAACTGAGACCAAGAAGTGAAAAGTACTCACAGGAGCTGCCCTTGAATTACTTACCAAGAATTGTGTATCCCTTACCATGTTTAGTTATTATAATAATAGCACTTAGGATGTTGCATTATCAACTTCATTTCACAAGGGCTTAGGAAATGGGGCCTTAGGAGGTTAAGTAAATTATCCAGCTAGTTGTCTAATTTCAGAACTGGGGCTGTCAATCAATGTCTTTCTGGCTTTGAAGGCTAAGCTCTCACCTACTAATACTTTACAGATCCCTACGTCTTGCCTTGGAGGACCTGCTGAAGAAGGTGGGGTGTGTGACATGATCCATGTTCCCATGGAGCCCATATTTGAGTGGATGAAGACACATTGATACTCACTGAGCACCTGATCCAGCAGTCAGCTCTTTACATATCTTCTTTCACATAATCCATTGAATTATTTCAGGGTAGAACTATCCCCATTTACAATAAAGAACCCAGGATCAGAGAGGTTTGAGGTGGGAGCTATCTTACTTCTGAGCCCTCACTCTTTCCTCCATACACTGCTTCACAGATAAAGTGGTTTATACAATAAAGGTTTGTACAAGAAAAAATGAGACCTGGTGGGCTGCTGCAACAGCCTCTTCTCTCCCATCTTGAGAGAGTCAGGAACAGCCACTGAGGTCCCTGGACAGGCTGCTGCCCTCTGTGTCTCCCCATCTTGGGGACCAAAAACCCCAGGCTCAGACCACAGATAGAGTTGAGCTGTCAGCAGCAGATGGCCCAAAGAAGAGAAAAATTGATGTATAAAAACAGAGGGGAGGGAAGACACAACACTGAAAGGACACTGAGTTTCTATTAATAGTGAGGGAAAAATTCAGGAAAAGTTAATGGTGATGGTTGAACAACAGGAAGAACATATTTAATGTCACTGAACTGTGATGTGAAGATTGTTGAAATGACGAATGTTTTGGTACTTATATATTTACAACAGTAAAAAGGGTTTAAACAACACAACAAAACAGAAGGGAGCCGGTGTGGACAGGAGTAGAGTGTGTGGTGGAGGCTTCCCCAGAGGAGAG